ATTTGTCAAATTTGCTGCAATCAATCGTTGTCCTTTTAAAGCCTTACCAATAAGTTATCCATCTTAGGTTTCAGTTAATTAATTGCTGGAATTAATCCCGTTCCTTCTAATTATTATTCAGTGTTGACAACTTACCTGTTACAACACATTTAAATATTTGTTAATAATAAATAATGCTGTTTTGCATTTTTAACATTTTTGAATAATATTTTGGTTTTCACATTAGTTTGAAATTCAATTTTACAAACTCAGTTTTGTCTACACTGGTATTTTAGATCTTTTCTTTTCATGGTTATATAGAATTTCAATTTCACATTATTTTATGACTTATTTATGTGTCATTTGTGGACATTTGCTCTCTCATTCATTTGAATGGTATCTCATTGTTGGTGTGGTGTTAGTTCCTTTCTGTCGCTGAAATAGCACATTGTGATCAAAAGCAAGGAACGAAGGAAGAGTTTATTTAAGACTTACCGTTATAGAGGGTGGTCTGTAAGTTCAGGGCAGAAACAGCAGCAAGAAGACCAAAAAGGAAGCTGGGGCAGCACATTCTCAGTAAAAACTAAACAGAGCTTGAACTAGAAGTGGGGTGAGTCTGTAAACTCCCAAAGCCTACCTCTGTTCCATGCTTCCTCCAAGAAGGCTGCCTCTCCAGAATACCCCTGAGACAGCATCAACTGGGAACCAAGTGTTTGAAATCGGAGCCTATGGGGGACATTCTCATTCAATCCACCACAGTAAGAATTCAAGTCATTACCCACATGTTTATTTCAACCTGACTGTCTGTTAGTCACTAAAGGATATTAAAGATAACCTCAGAGGCACCAACTTGTGTTGGAATTGCATTAAAAAGGAAAATTCAACACTTCCTTTTGAATTAATTTTACCAAAAGCAAGCCTAAGTTTGAATTCTCCACTTTTCCTAAGTCTTCCATGTGTCTGTAGTTTGTGGTTTCTGACTTGCCCCTGTTTGTGATACGTAGCTCACATGTTTCTACTAGCTCTACGCTGTCTTGTCTCTAACAAAGGGCTTCAATCTGGAATTATTGAACAGCACAGAAAACATCACATGGGGAGAAATGAGAGATACATCATAAGGAATTTTAACCGTTTTACAAGGTGTTTACTGTAAAAAGACTAATTGTGAAGCAATAGCTTATGTTATTTCCAACTTTCATGGCAGGTATTTGTTCCAAAAGACCTCTTTCAACCTGTTTATTTTTCTCACCAAATGATTGCTAGAACATACATACATACACACATATGCACACATGTTGCTCTATGGATCAGTGGCACAGAAGAATGCATGACTCAAGAATACAGCTATGCTTTAGTTTTTGTTTTAAAAGCTGTTTTTGTGGAAATTCCATGGCAAGCAAGGTTGGCTGTTGCAGTGTTCTCTGAAAAGAAGTTAAACAAGCAGATCGAGTACTCAGCAGGATATCAGGCTAAGTGACCTCAAGGTGCACTATTAACTGGACTGTGAAGTACAGAAAAAGTTCCTTTCTCTTTGAATGTAGGAGATACTTTTGTAAAATGATGACCATAATTGTGTAAAATTAAGTGTATCACTGTCTTTATTGAAAAATACTTAATTTATTGATTAAAAAATTGAATAACACATAAAATAAACTACCAGCAAGAACAAGTTAAATCATTTAAAATTTGTTTTTAAGACAAATACCATATGTACTCACTCATAAATGGCTTTTAGATATAAAGTAAAGGAAAATCAGCCTACAATTCACAATCCCAGAGAACTTAGACAACATTGAGGACCCTAAGAGAAACATATATTTATTTAATCTACATAGGAAATAGAAAAAGGCATGATATCCTGAAAAAATTGGGAGCATGAAGACTCTGAGAGAGGGTAAAAGGGGTGGGGAGAGGAAGGGAAAGGAACAGAGAAAAATATAGCTCAATAAAAACAATTTTAAAAAACAAGCAAAAATTGTTTCTATAAAGTTATTAGAGTAGTTTCTAGACTCCATATTTTAAAAGAAATACAATACAAAAATATGTACTTTATAATTCAATGTCAAATTTTATAGGATCATGAGGAGATTTATTTGTGTGTGTATGTGCGCGCATGTACACATATGAAAGAGAGGAGGTGTATGTCTGTGTGTGCATGCATGTTTACACACTTATGTGTATACACATTTTAGTGAGGAGGAAAACACCTGCATACATATGCATACAGAGGCTAGGAGTTAATGTTTGGTGTCTTCCTCAGCTGCTCTCCACCTGATATTTTGAACCATAATCTCTCACTGAATCTGGTGTTCATCCAGTCAGCTAGTCTAGCCAGCCAATGAGCTCTGGGGAAGGCTTTGTCTCTGACTCTCTACCCTAGAAGTCACAGTGTGTGCCACTGTGCAAGTGACGAGACCCCAGGGTCTCCAACCGTGGTTTCTGATGCGTGCACAGCGTGCATTTTACCTGCTGTGCTGTCTTAGAGCCCACAGTGAGGTTTTATACATAATTACAAGTTGAAGACAGTGCAATAGAAATAGTCGGGGGTGGCCTTTAGATCAGATGACCCTGGGCTCTGGTTCTGCTATTCGTAAGCAGAGACCCTGGCCAGTATATTTAACCTTTTGCAACCTGCATTTCCTGTGAGTTGTGCCCATTTTTATAAGATTGTACTAAATAAAATGTAAATGCCTTAAGCCTAAGAATTTGACATCTACTCCAGAAACATTAATAAATGGAAAAATGTCAAAATACACCTTTTAAATGCATATTGCTTTTAAAGATCTCACTAATATAAACAAGCTATTTTTTTATTACCTGACCTAAAAGATTGTTATTACAATAGTGATGGTCAGAAAATAATTTTTGATCAATGCTATAGTTCTCCACAATTACACCATGCAACATGGAATATTTTGGACAAAATATTTGGACAGAACAAAACAGGAAAATTAGAAAATTCACCATGCCATGCAGAATTCTGATCCAACATTCTATTAAAACAGGCTATCAACAGGAACCAGGAGTCTGTTTTTATCTTAACACAATTAAGGAAGCTAAAGACTTGTAAGTGTAAAGGGGAGTGTTATTTTTTAATAACCAAACAAGAATCTTTGAATATTAATGAGATGCCTATCGTGCGAAGGAGAATGTCTGGAAATCAATGTAATTGTAAACAATGCTGAGTAAAAAGGTTGACTAAGCCTTTCCAGGTCTCCCCATAGGGTCCCTACCTTAGGTGGTAAAATGATATCTTTTTACAGAAAAAGGCAAACAGGACTCAGCCCCATTGGGGCCCAACGTGATTCAGAGCATGCACGGGCAAAATACATTCTTTAAAGGCCTGAGTGTGTATCTAAATCGTCTGTCAATGCAGGAATTCTGGGATGTGAGGAGGGTCTAAGCTTACATGACAATTAACACAGACTGGAATAATCTTGAAGAGAGATAGCTATCTTCTTATTACCTCCAGCGCCATTATTACCTTCAGCGCTAAAGGCGCAGGAGCTCCCAAACCGAACTCCTACTGACCTGTACAGTTTTACATTCTTCCTTCAAGTCACTAAGTCAGGACAGTGTCACTGCCAGGCCAGTGCTTCTTCACGAATCTTCCCATACCACGACAGATTAGGACCATCTCTGATAGAAATCAGCACCTTAGAGGGTGGTTCACACACGAAAAGACAAGTTTCCTGCGCTGCATGCTCTTGACAGTTGGTGCGAGATGAGCCTGCGGATTGCATGCGCTGAGAATTACAGCTTGTTCAGATGCATTTTCAATCGCACTGAATAAACAGCATGGGATGTTTGATGAGTGTTAATATGCAAGATGCTACAATTAGGTATGATTGTTCTTTTAAATTACTATGCTCATTTTTTTGTATTCTTCCTTTGATCTCTCACAGACAGTGAGAACAAAATTTGTAATTTAAAACATATTGACTTTGACTCAGAAATTCATTTGCACGTTGCAAACCTATTGTGAACTGAAACATATAGTTAGATAAGAAAATATCTTTAGTCTGAAGAAAAGGTGCCAATTCTTTCTCTCGTGCATGTGTTTTCTCTTAGCACTTGCCACCCTCAGTTTTTTACCCTAGGTTTAAAGTAAGTTTCTCTAAGTTATATATCCTGTACCACTGAGATGTTCCCAGGAACCAGAACTCATGAGGGAGTAGGTTAAAATACATTAGTTTTGTGTTCACTATAAATATTGGTTTGGATAGTTCCTTTTACTTATTTTTTAATATGTACAATCATCCCTAGAAATTGATCTTCCATTACACACTAACTCTTTGGGAAAAAAGGTTTTCTCTTCATGGGATTCTAATTGTAGGGTTGTCGATCAGTTCTCTATTTAGTTGAAATTATTAAAATATTCATGAAGAGGAAATTTTTACTTATAACCTGCAGTGCTGATGAAAAAAAAATCTTTGTACTGTACAATGTTCCCAAAGTATGTGTTTGACAAAGCCTGTTTCTATGTTAGCACATGCAGAGTCGGCGGGCAAGTTGCTCAATGATCTAATTATCAATCACTTCACCTTTAGTCTTAGATCGAGTCATTATCTTCTCTTCGTGGTGTTCAACTTGCCCAGCTCTAGCCACTCTTAATGTATTTCTACACCCTGTAAAGGATCTAGGTATCACCGTGTCTGCTAATTTGTCTTACTAATGATTTCTTTTAATTTTTTTCCTCTAGAATATAGACCTACGGTTAACTGGATTTGATTGATAAGAGGGAAATCTACAGTCAATGGCCACTCCCACCACACTGCTGCTATGGAAAGCAGACCGGTCAATAGGAGATGGTCTGATGAGTAGTGAGAATTGAAGATGCCGCTTCAACCTGTGGGAAATCAATGGGAGATCTTTGCTGCATGAAGGGTACCTTGAGTTTTCCTCCCCAAGCTAACATTTGAGAAGCTGGAGGTGTATTCTACCATCGTTTCAAGGTTCCCAAGTGGATACAGATATATTTGCCTCACTGTACCAGAGAGCTAGACAACTAATGTGGGACCATGGCGCGTCCCAGAAGCATGTGGCCAAATTATGTTTGGAGAGCCATGATGGCTTGTGTGGTACACAGGGGGTTGGGCGCCCCGTTGACTCTCTGTTTGTTGGGATGTTTGCTGCAGACTGTCCACGTGCTCTCTCAAAAATTGGATGATGTAGACCCATTGGTTACCACTAACTTTGGCAAGATAAGAGGAATTAAGAAAGAACTCAATAATGAAATTTTGGGGCCTGTCATTCAGTTTCTTGGCGTTCCATATGCTGCTCCACCAACAGGTGAACATCGTTTTCAGCCTCCAGAACCACCGTCTCCCTGGTCTGATATCCGGAATGCTACTCAATTTGCTCCTGTGTGTCCCCAGAATATCATTGATGGCAGATTGCCTGAAGTTATGCTTCCTGTTTGGTTCACTAATAACTTGGATGTGGTATCATCATATGTACAAGACCAGAGTGAAGACTGCCTATACTTAAACATCTATGTCCCAACTGAAGATGGTGAGTTAACTGCAGGAACACAGGGAGATACGTTTATTTTCTATCCTAAGTTTGAATAATGTTAATTCATGTGTACCGGTAGCATGCATGGCTTTTCCTGTTGGCATGTAGACATATTTTACATGCTTGCATGCCGCTCTTTTTGTTTCTGTGTGTCTGTGTATTTGTTCTTTTTTCACTGTGCCTACTCATTTTCTTTCCTCCACAGCACGTACACTTAGGTAGAAATGGGCTCCAAATTTCCATTTCCTACCAAATGACGTCTGAGAAGACGCATCAGCGTTTCCTCATTGCATGTGCAGGCTCAGCGAATTGGGGCTCTTTGGAACTCAGTAAAAGCAGGAGCGCACTAAGTTAGACAGTGGTGTTGCATGTTCCGGCGGTCTGTGATGGGGCGCCATGTTATTTTCTAGTCTTCTATTCATTTTTCAGTAAAAAGAATATCCAAGGAATGTGCCAGAAAACCCGGCAAGAAAATATGTAGAAAAGGAGGTATGTATAAAAGTGAAAATGAAAACGATGTAAACGTTTATAGAGGGAGAATCAGATCTTCTCCCAGAAGATGATTAGCTGATGCTGGGGAGTGAGTCAGGAGAGCTCAGGCTGAGCAGACCATACTGGGAAAACTCATTGCTGGTGCCTGTGTTCTCCTATAGGTAGTGCTCTTATGGATGCAATTTCTGCCTTCTCTTTCCTTATAAAAAAAAAAAAAAAAAAAAAAAAAAAAAAAAGGTTTCCTCACTCTTACGCTACCTAAGAAACCCAAACAGCACTGCCTTAACAGCCGGTCTCTTACTGAACATGTACAGATGTGTGTCCCTATTCACAATGATTAGTTAAGCAAAAACTTTGTTTTATGTTGGTATAGTCTTAGATCCTTCTGCACACTGGCCACAACTATGAGGCGGTTTCCATTATGACGTAATAGTGATATTTTCCCCAAGAGTTGCTTTTATTTTCAGTTACTCTCCTAGAAGAAAATGAGATATTTTATTCTTTATGTGAAATATTTACAGTCTCAAAGTGCCTTTAGCATTTATATATTTATGTTAAACAATTTAAAACATGGGGAGAACGTGATTCAGAAGCTACAATTAAATCAACCTTCAAATCATCCTCTAGCCAGATTGAGCAAATCTAGACACTGACAGCTGCAAGCTCGCATCTGAATGCGGCATGACCATGCTCCATTTTTATATAACATTCAGGAAATCTCTCATAGGAGTCTATGATTTTCTATAGCAGTAAATATTCTAAGTGTTATTTTGACCTTGCTCATAGCTTGGTAGACTTTTCAGTCTTCCTACAGAAGTCGTATTAATATTCCAGTGTTGTACGTTCCATCGCTCTTTGCACTTCCAATCTGGCTGGAACAGGTCAGATTTCATCATGGCATCTTTGTGTAAAAGGAGTGTCCAAACACTCTGTTTTATGAGATTGGATTATATGGAAGACACTTGGAATAACAAAATCATCAACTCTCCATTATAAATATTTGCATTAAGTCGACTATTATTGTTTCTCTTATTTGTTGGGTAAAGTAGAGTTGAACCTCGACTTATAAAAGTTAAGGTCATAGTCTGGGTCAGATTCGTAATATGCTTAAGAAGATGTGTGGCAGAAGCAGGGAGTGCTCAGAAACAACTAAAGAAAATTCATTCTTTTATTTTCAAAGGAGAAAAGCGGCAGTGACTTACAGGCTGTCAGCTAATGGAGAATGCTGCAGAGGGGTTATTATACTGCTTATCAAGAATGTGTAATTAGCTAAGTGACTTTAGCCTCCTATCACAAAGTTGTTGATTTACAAAGTCATAAATAAAGATGCCGTTCAAGAATGCATAAATAAAGCATAACGCAGGAGAAAGGTGTGATTAAGAAAAAGGATAAGGGCACCAAAAGATAAGATAGTAAGCAAGAAAAATGACCTTTCTTCGCATAGAACTCCGTCAAGAGGAAAAGACTCAGCAGAATTTCTTTTTTGTTATTCTGTGGCTTGTTGGCTCTACATGCTTCATACGAGAATTGGTGAAGAGCTGTGTAGGCTGGACTGTTTACTTTGGCAACCTTTAAGCTAATTTATAATTAGATTGGGACAATGTCTACAGATGCCCACTGACTGTGTATAGTCAACTATTGTGCTTTTTTTTTTTTGCAGCGCTAATTAAGCACTATTTAAAAATCCTCTTGTTTGAGAACTTAACATATCTTACTATAATTAGAGAAGGCCTGCTCCCTCTTAGTTGATTGTCTATTACCCTAAAACTGAATAACTAATAATTTAAGTGTAATATTCTAAGCTACTATTTCATGAAAATAAAAACTAAAAACCAACATTTACATTTGACTATTGAATGACGGAGAAGAAAAGTTCCTAATCTTTAAATTTATATATATTCTCTACAATGAAAGGTTTATTTTCATCAATTCAAGAAAATATGAATGTACACATAGCGACAAGCACCTTCCATTCTAACATTTGCGAGGCAAAGGCAGGTGGCTATACATTTCAAAGCCAGCTACGGCTACACAGTGAGGTGGAAGCTAATCTGCTTTATATGTTCACTGCTCCAAGATCAAAAAAGAAAGAAAAGAAGAAACAATGAAGGAGACAGAAAAAAAGAAAGCATTATCCTGTTCCAAAAAATTATTATCAATTTCATAACCATTTATGTATACATTAAGTATATACTACACATGGACTATGAGTTGTTAAGCAGCTTTGTCCTAGAGGCTCTTAAAAACCGAGGTAATAGCAGTGCTGTGCTTGGTCCAGATGCTGATTTTTGGCTTGTCATTATTTACCTCTTTTCTTTTTAATGTATACAGTCACTTGCAGAGGCAGATGGGCCCTGTTTCTGTGCCAAGCCCCCTATAGTCTGGGCCTACTATATCCACCCAGAATTCCTTCTTAATTGCCAATTATAAACATGTAGTAATCAAGTGAGTTAGTAATAAATGAAGCAGACGAGGAACTCTCTTCTGAGAGAGCGTACATTCAAATGACTTTGTGAAGAACAACACATTTTCTGTTCTTTGATCTGTACAAATGGAAGAAAAATTTCTCCCTCCAGGAGATGCCAGATTATATTTTAAAAATACCCTTTGCAATACTTTCCTCTGTATTTGAAGTTAGAAAACACATTTTAAAAAATAACATCAAAGGACGAACTTTTATTTGAAGACAGGTCCCAGTTGCACATTTGAATCTGTCTGTTCGTAGCTCCCATGAGAGTTTTAGCCACATGCCAGTTGTCTTCTAGATAGTCTTCAGGCTTCTGTCCATTGAAGAGAGAAATGAATGGTTAAAATGAGGTGCTGCTGTTGAACACTCGGACCTGTAAGTAACATAGAAGCTGGAGTTTTACATGTGCAGAGTAGCAGGGGTTCTTCCTTATTTATCTGTTTCATAATTGCAGCAATCTTATGAGAAAAATTAAACTACAAAAATCTCGACAAGTTTTAAAATACTTGTTTTTTTTTTTTCATCCAATATCCATTGCTAGTAAAGGCAGAAGCAGATATGGCCAAAGTTCTAGCCCACGGAGACTATTAGATAGAGCTCTATTAGGTTAAATTACTCCATGCAGGGAAGATGGCTTATTCAGTAAAGCAATACCAGCACAAGGACCTGGATCAGGCATGTCTATAACCCATAATCCATGTCTATAACTCATTACCAGAAAGGCAGACAAAGGAAAATCTGCTGAACTCATTGGCTAATGAGTCCAGCCTGTGGGAGATCCTGCCTCAAAACGAAACAACACAACAGCAACAAAATTATAATGTAAGATGGTTGAGGAAGATACTTGCTGTTGACCTCTGGCCACTATAAACATGCACACACACATAACTGACACATTCAAGCACACGCATGCACCCAGAAATGCACAGGCACATGTGCATATACAAAATGCAAGCACAGACATCACACTTGCACACATGCACACATACATGGGCACACGCACATACGCACACACAATACAACATATAAGTGGCCTCTTCCAGATGATCCTTAGCAGTCACTGAGCCAGCTATCTACTTTGGCTTCCTTCCTTTTCTGTTTCCTTTCTTTTTTCATGCTTTTCTTTTTTGCATATTCAAACATAGTCCCAAAGTTTTAAATTCTATGCATTGACAATATTTTTGATAAATTTAGATCTTAACTCAATTTGATCAAGCCAGTATAAACAACTTTTTTCAAAAGCATGTGCACAGTCCACTTTACTAGCTTCTGTTGTTGCTGTTATTTTCCAGAGATCTTTTAATTATTAAATTTTGTTCTTTCACACTTTTGTACATGTACCACAACACATTTGCTCTCTCTCCCACTTCCCCTTCCCAGCTACCCCCACTCTTACTCTTATCAATATCCCATTTAGCCTACTCTGTCATCTGTTTACTAATTTGAGTTTAGTTTGCTGCCTCACAGAATTTAATAGGTGTTAACAGTATGCAGGTATTTACTGCCCAGACTAAGACTTCAGTATATTCCCCTAGGAAGCGATCAAGGAGTAGAATTTTTTTTTTAAAAATTCTTCTTCCATACATTATATTCCAACACAGCTTCTCCTCCCTCCACTTCTCTCAGTGCCTCCTAGTCCCTCCTCCTTCCCCTCTTCCCCTCATACATTCCTTCATTCCCCCCCCCACCAACAAAAAGGCTGCCCATCCAGGATATCCACCGAACTAGGCAGAACAAGTTACAATAAGACACTATATCATTGCTGGATAAGGCAAGAAGTAGTTTGATTCACTTCTGCGTTCCTTTGTTTCTCTAGGTTTCTGCCTTATGTGACTTGTGAATAGACAGGAAGGTGGCCAAATATTAGCAGTAATCACAAGTAGGAGGAGCAAGGGGGCAGAGGGACCCACAAGCATATCCGTTAGTTCCGAGTCTGTGGTTAGTTCTGCAGTCTTGCGTTCCTCCAGAAGGCTGACTGCTATTTGCATAGCTCTTTGGAAATGAATACAGAGTTTTCATTTTTCTAGTTGTGAGATTGTGTGAACCCATTTCTTCATATTCCCTCATTTTTATTACATAGACACCTTTGTAGAGGACTCTGTTGTAAAACATTACTACTTAAGTATGTTTCTGATTTTCAAAAGTATTTGACTTACTGTACCTAATAGTGTTCAGTAGAGGTCATCTAGCATTCCTTCAAAAATATTTCTAGCCGGGCGATGGTGGCGCACGCCTTTAATCCCAGCACTCGGGAGGCAGAGGGAGGCGGATCTCTGTGAGTTCGAGACCAGCCTGGTCTACAGAGCTAGTTCCAGGACAGGCTCCAAAGCCACAGAGAAACCCTGTCTCAAAAAAACAAAAAAAAAATATTTCTAACAGCTTTAGTTTATTTGGTTGGTTGTTTAGTGTGGGGAATAAATTGAGCTTTTAATCTATTTAATCTATTTAATCTATTTATCACTGTTGATGTCTTCAGGATCTTAATAAGGGATCATATTCCAGAATCATATTCCTTCTGGCTCAACATTTC